GCGCACTCGCCCGGAAAGCGTGAGGTGCGGGTTCGACTCCCGCCTGGGGCACGACTTTTGCCCACAACTCAGCATTCTTGTGATAACTTTCGGAAGCGCGAAATGCGGCGTAAAACAGCAGTTATCGTGATATAAAAATTGACGCTTAAGTTCATTTGCCTTATTCTTCTGAATTCCAGCCGGACAATTTCAAATGACTTTTTCTCGGAAACTGAAAAGACCAAATTTTGGAAAAAACCACCAATTCGCCGTCGTGACAGGCGCACTCATGTGATTATTCTCAAAACCGTTTCACTGTTTGTTTTTTTTTCAGAACTCTTATTTGGTGGAAACATTAACATATCTCATATAAACAAGAATATGGTTGAAATTTTGAAGCTCTCATTAGGATGGTTTCCGAACTTACTAAAGGAACCCAATTTGCGTTTTAGGGGAGACGGACAAGAAAAACGTAATATGCCGCTTTGTCGCACGCGGCGATGGGCGCGACGTTTTCTTGTTTTGCATTACCCTTCCGTTCAGAGTATCGGATTTTATGTATACTAGGATATCATAGATATTTATGGCTGTTTTCGGTCATCCAATACGACCTAGAATCGTCGTCATTGGCGGGCGCGACGCCGCACGGGACGCCCATTGACGCGGCGAGCTATGATTCTCCTGCCACAAACCCGCGTTTTAGTGACTACAGCTGCATGGCTCAACAAATAGACGAGATCAAAATTGAGAGCGAAACAGAAGAATTCCGCGTTCTTGAAAGGACACACGCAAAAACACATTTCTGAGTCGAACTTACCGAACTATTGTACGTTTGATTTTTTACGCCGCTGCTATTCTACGTCAATTGGTCTCGATGAAAAAGGCAACCATCCACGATGATGTCAAAAATGAGCTCTGTATCCTCAGTCAGAAAGTCAAATAACCCTGATATCCAACTTAGTTCAAAGCAATTTCAGTGAAAAAAAAATGGTGGCATCATATTCGGCACCAATCGCCGGCATCCACGGCCAGTCCATTTCTGCTACCCGACGCTTACAGTCACGTTTCAGCCCAAAACTCATATTTTGGCGCAGTTATTGGGCAATAATCTCAGTTAAAAGTCTATTTTAGAATTGCTGTCGATTATAATATCCTCTTAACTCTAGTTATTTTACCACTTGTTGAAAAAAATGACAAACATTTCGGAATAGTGCAACGCATAAAGGACAACCAAACTTACCGTGTCCACAAGTTTCCTGACTTTCTGATCCAAACTTGACGAGCCAGGCACGGCACGTTCGACTAGTTTGATAGTTTCTGCAGCGAACAGCAGCGGACCAGGTTTTCTATAAAAAAAGACGAGTACTGTAATCATAGTCTACTTGGCGTTTCTCCACTCGCAGGCTGACATGAACTCTAGTTGCTCAATGGCTTCTAGATGTCTCTTAGTTGCCGATTTCGTATGCAGACAGATCATGTCCGCGATGTCGCTCAATGTCGGCATCAGATGACTGGGTGTGATAAGCCAATAAACAAAAAAAACCCTCAGCCAAAATTCAACATAAAGAGAGTTTGCATTAATTGAATTTTGAGCAGGAGCACTTTATGTGATGCACATGAAATTCGAAAAATGACCGCTTCAGAGGAGAAATTCGAGAAATTATGCCTTTTCGTGGGTGTTTTTACACCTTTGCTGCAACCCATGAGCACCGCGAGAAGAACGCAACGGGTACACTGTTTCAGATGAAATATTAGTGCTAACATAAGCATTAACGACTTTCCCTTTAAAACTTATGACGCTTATGTACCCCCCATTATCGGGAGTGTTTCGGGATTTACAGTCTTGCATGCAGTCTGAGTATGGCCCCCGAGTTTTCATTTATGTGATCTGTGAAAAGTTTATCTTTCAACTGGAAGCAATCCTCACGTGCTAATAGACGATCCGCTGCTATCTGCTGATACCTGAGATGGTTCCTCTGCCTCTTGTTCCACCAGAACCAGACCATTTTCCTAAATTATCACTAAATTAGCACAGTCCAGAATTATTTATTCAAACCGACATTATTCTGTTTGATTTAATTTTCCCCACTTTATATACATCTCGGATGCAACATGTGCCGCTCTATTCTCTACACCACTCCCCGATGCCCGAGAACAAACATTGCTAAATTTTTCCTCAAGTCTAAACATGTTCCAGATGCTCTGACATCTTTAACGTCCTCTCAGCATCGCAACATTCTCATATCTGTACACTATGCTTTACTCTTCCACATTGCTCGATAAAATTGGCCCAGCAGGAAACTTTGTCCTCGGGGCTGTGCTGATTACGGGCCACGATGCATAAACTTTACATATAGTTCTGCATATTTCGTGGCATTCCTATGACAATCCTGAACGCAGGGACTCCAATGCAAATTTGTCTCTCACCGCGCCAGGAGAGCCAATACTCTCTCGTTCGAGTGCAGGTAAGGGAGTTTTTATAGTCGGGTAAGCAGCAGGATCTTATCTTCATTGCCTGATTTTAGTTCAATCGTTGTATCTGGCAGGACCCTGCGACCAGCGGTTGCAAAAATCGATGTTTCGAAGGTACGGCCCGCAATGACCTATGAAAACGTGAACGATTGCGTGGGAAGGGTAATGTGGTCCGCAGTGGATTTCTTTGTACTCTTTTCGCGGCGGCAAAAGATGCACGGTAAAGGTCGTTAGAGACAAGCGCCGCCGATGAGATTTCGGGTTCTGGGCTCAACTATATCTTCAGAACATGCGGCCAAGTAAAGCATTAAATCAAAAAAAAATGAATAAAAGCGCACGCAAGAAACATTTAGAAACAAGACCATTACTCGAACTCGGAAACGCCGCATCTTTGCGCAAGATAGGGGTGGTTCATACAAAAACCCTCGTGGCCGGGCTTAATTCTCATGAGGCACTAACTAGGTTGTTAAAATTAATCTATCTAATCTAATCTAACTAATCTATTGTATCTATCAGTTAATCTTTCTATGAGGGTACGAAACTAGCGCTAGAAGTTTAGCGATCATCAGTAGCTACGGGGCGGAGTCAGCTCATCATTGTTGACTCCGCCTTCGTCAATCAATCGATTTCGAGCCGCAAGAGTGGGATATCCGCTGTGGTTGCGGACTCCGCGATCTTGTACAGTACAGGGTTTTTCACCTTGGTTGACCGCGGACGCTGCCTTTAAGACGTGACGGTACTTCAGATATACCTTTGTCCGGCGACTCCGCCTCCAGACTCCGCCTTAAAGGCATATGGCACAATAATTTGGTACTCGGTCTAAAATGCTAGCAGTGCGCTATATAGTGGGAAAATGGCGAAAAAACGAAGTGAAACGGTCAAAAACCTGCGAAGAAAAGCCTTCTTTCTTAATGACTCAGAAAGCAGTTTCGGACGAGATCCATGTAGGCATCTTGCCAATAAACGCTACGGACCGCACGTATGTACTCATATATCCATGCAGCACCGCGGCCGCTTCATACCAATCCCTTCGCTTCATATTTTACTTCGCAAATGAAGCAATACGAGCATCAGGTACGGTCGTCCATTTGTGGGCGGGCGGGCGCGATGGGCGCCCAGTTGGTATGTTGCAGCTTGACAGGGTCTCATAAGGGTAACTTCGAATAGGCGCTAAGCAGCGCTCGCTCAGGGCCGCGGAATCCCGTCCTGCCAGGCGAACTAGTCCTCTCGTTTCAGGGATTCATCGTACCAACCGCCTTCAAGACCACATTCCAGCGAAAAACGATGCTGGCAGACGAGTAGCATTAAATAGAAACTCCGTTATCGCTTGTGGGGGCCATAGGGCTCATTATAGGAAAAAGGTTGACTGGATTAGTCCCAACACGCGGTTATTTTGTCTTGTACCAGTACAGTTGCAGAATTGAGATCATAGAGGACCTGTTAGGAGGTTTCCGGAGCTTTCTTTTGCATTTTCTCTTCACATGAGTTCCTTGGCAACTTCTCTTCCATGTTTCGCTACCACTAGCGTCGCTCCGCTGTTGCGTACCGTACCTTCCGGGCTCCTTCACAAGAGTAGTCCCATTCAACCGATCATAAACGGTAGGGAGAGGAAGGAAAGGCTCAAATCGTAAGTACTAATCCTATAGAAGCTTGAAATTTTCTACTCCTAATTGTACTATTGGGCCTTGACACAACCGACTAATTAAGCATTCAAAGGCTATTCAAAAATGTGTATTTCCACTTAGTTCGACGGTTTCACACTTGCACTTTATAAAAAGCATCATGATCACGAGGGACTAAAGCTGCCTCATCACGAGCGAATTCCTATTTATAGCCAAAATACAGACAAATTCGATTTGTTTTTTTGACGTGACATTTCCTTGGCCCTCTTTAACCCATTTTAACCTCCTCACTACGCCAAATGATGTAGTACTGACACTTCGCGGGTCGCTAACACTGCCCAACTTATAGCAGTAATCAGTGGTGGATGCAGAGAATTTGAGAACAACTAAAAAGCTCAAAAGGCAGCCAGGGCCATGCAACCTTCTGAAACGTTCAGGTCTATATGAGACATGTTTAGAGAAAGCATGTAATAGATGAGAGAATGGGACAGGAGATCTGAGTTGCGGAGACGCGACTGTGCGAGTGGCGTCGCGCGATCAGCATATGTACGTAGTATCGGTCGCAGTGAAGATGAAAAGTTAAATCGGTGCGCGCGATGAGCGTTTCCTCCCGTCGCCGCAAAGCGAATCTTCTGGTCTACAGCCTGCAGGCTGCAGCAGACTAACTCTTAACAAAACCAGACCTGAGCGAGAAATAGCCACTGGGCGAGAATAAGGATCTATTGGACTATAATACTTTTTTTTGAGCACCTCAATCTGCCGAACCACAATTGAATTTTGTGCACAGCAAACTCTATATATTGCGGGGAAGGATGAAATACCTATTTCTAGCAAGTCTCCTGGTCGGCTATGTTGGTAGCAAAAGGGCGCGAGGGGAATAATAGGAATGTATGGGACCCATAGATAATGAAAATTTCTGCAGGGTCATTATTCTATAACGGGGAGCTGAAAAAAAAAATCAGGAGACCTCTGTTGCAGGAAAAGAGGCAACAAAATAGAAACTGAGTCAAAACAAATGGTAGTTAATCACGCACTGATGAAAGAAAAAAGGAATTATGGAAGACTTCCGGCAAAGGAGAGAAAGCTAGCAAGAGCACGCAATAAGAATAACAAACGCAGTGGAAACGGCGTGCTCAGCAAGGGAACAATAGTCGTTATCACTTTGCTAGAAAATGAACAATCTCGCTCAGAAACCCACTATTATTCTATTGGGGTGCCCGGAAAGTTTTGAGAAATTTCAACCAGCTCATTTAACGTTTATAGACAACAATAAGAGATACGGATTCATACTTATAAAAAACACTGTCCATCCCATTTGCCTTAACTTTTGGGCGATTACACTGCGTGGGAGCTGGAATGGAGTACCAAAGATGCGGGGGCGTACGCAACATCTAAGCTAAACTTCCATGTAAGAGACCGACTGATCTCCTAACACATAATTTTTGAGCCTCTTTTACCTAGCACTGGTGACGGTGCCTCATTCCGGATTTTGCCGAAAGAGCAGCCAGAATAGTGAAAATGAATTAGAAGGTGTTGGGAGTCGTGTCCGCTAACACATTTTTCAGTTACTTTCAACTCAACCAACAGTGAAGAATAACACATCAGCATTAAGAACAATCTACAAACAATTCTCTCTCTCATGGCACTTATTATATGATTTTCATGTCAGGAGCATTCGCTTGCTACACTTCTTCAAACTAAAAGTGTGGAATTTCAAGGAGAGCCCAGCATTAGCCAATTTCAGGGTCGTAGAGGTTTTGAAGGTGTATTATGAATTACGAGGCGGAGGTTGTGCGGTGGCAAGTGGCACGTTTAAGTTCAAACAGGAGGCTCCCGCCCGGCCATCCAAGCCTTCTACCCTCCGGGGTTGGCATATGTATTGGTGGCAGCTTTGTCTGAGAGGATAAGGAACATTGACTTGTACATGATCTGGCTTCCGCAGGCCGTTGTATAGGCGACATCGCAATAAATAAGCCACTACGACCCTGGATGGAAGCAGAGTGGACGCCGCATCCAGAATAGGGCTCGAACAACAATCAAGACTTCATCCTTATCCTTATTTGATTTATAAAATTGCAAGCGGATATTCCTTCAGTGTCCATATTAGTGCGCTCGCCAGCAAGATAAGCTTGGCAGTCATGAACGAAAAGGAAAAGCTTAAACTGGTCGCGCATTTCATTAAAGACACTTGACGGCGATGCGGGAATCTAATGTTCTATCATGATTCCTTTAAAGACAGTCCCGCGCTCATCCAATTAGTGACATCCATCTATGTTCAGGTATTCGGTCCGCAGTCTCTGAAACTGTCCCACTTTTGCGGCTTCTTAGTAAGTAACAAAGGCGCTGCGGCCCTCATAAGAGACAATTTTGATGCCTCCTCCAGTTGTACCGCCCAGTGAAACTCGAAAGCTATTTTCTCTCGCTAGATCAGTTCATAAATAGCGTTTTTCGTTTTCTTTTCACTGTTAGATGGTATGAGCTTCGGACACAGAGGAAACGATTGGTGACCCAGAGGATGTCGCTTTACGGGCACAAAGATCCGATCAGATCAGCATGTCTCGTCCAATAGAGTTGCCAGGGGTCCTTAATTAATGCCCTTCATAATTTTTTTTGCTGCCCTCGAGAGTCACTTAGCGACAACAGATTTGCAACTGATTGCCAATATCCACAATATGCAAGCCTGTCTCTGAAACGACCCTCTTCAAAAATGAGGTCCAATATTATCTATTTCCTCACCTCACTTCTGATCTCCAAGAAGATAAGAAAGTTGGGTACGTGGACGGAAAGGAGTGTATACACAACACCAGACACGGTGAAATCATCCGGCTGAGCACCAACGAGTTTTCAAGTTCCACTTGCACTTATTCTTCTAGTTACTTTGTCAACAACTCAGACGCGTTAGAAGCACTTTTGGGATGTGTTTTTCTATGAATCCTAGATTTTTACAATATTTGTGCTGCCTACGTTTCGGAGGTATCGCCTTCAGGGCATCGACTAGGAGGAACTTCTCCTAAGGAGGCTTCGAAAAAGACAATACTGTCGGAACTTTGGGTGCATAAATATTTGCAACAATCTCGGATCGATCCGGAAACATGCACCAGTATTACTGTCGCCGTGACGAAAATGATGGAGAGCCTATTATGAACTACCACTTTTCCCTCCAACATGCCAAATTAATATTCCACCTGACTCGAAAATAAATGAAAAGGGAGGATTTGGAGAAAGGAAACCCAATACTAGTTGCCCATAGAATGCATTCTACAAAACTTATTGGGAATGACGCCGAGGCAGACCTGAGAGAATAATTGGCCACCTAATGTTGGTCCCAGTGCTCGATAGCTTAGTATAAAAACTAAGGTCTCCATATCAGGGTGTAAGGGTGAGACACGCATTCGAGTGCCATTAGCCTTGAAGAGAAATCCACGCATTATTTACCTATTACTACCCTAATCTTCCTAAATCAAGCCACTTTTTTACAGACTTCTTTCTATTACGGCAAGTCTGGCTGAAGGTTTGCTTCTATGGGTAGTTTCACCTCCTAAACACGAATGTTACATCGGCTTGGCCTGAAACTGCCTGGCGATAGAGCTACAGACACCTGTGCCAAGATGCTCTAAATCAACGAATTTGCTGCAAACTTGTCTCCGGGGTAGCTTGAGCTGCTGAACATAAATATCAAATCCGCTTGGCCCAAAACGGGAGGTTATGACATCCTTATGGAAAACCATTTTCGTGATCAACACATCAAATAGCCCTATTGTGCAAGTTTTTACCGATTTTGGTGAAAAATGGTGCGATGCCAAATCGGCGCCTGATGAAGCCAACTGGATCCAGGGCCAAAAATGAATGACATGTCCGTGACCAGGGCACCGAATAAGCCCAGTGCTGAATACACCGATTTTGGTAGGAAAAGTGATGGTGCCTAATGGCGTCAGCGGCAAAAGCGAATGCCATACTTTCGATCTTTGCATCGAACAACCCTGTGTACACAGTTTCACCAAAAAAGTTTTTTTTCGGTTTTTTTTTTTGGTAGTCATAGTTGAATGATACCGGGATCCATTGTGAGGCCAGTCCTTTTTTAGACAAAGAACGATTTAGAGCAGCTTTTAGCGATGTTTTTGTTCGTATATTTCACAACAAGTGAAAACTTCACAGCGTCGTACTACGGATAGAATAATCAATTAATATTTTGTTGTGCTGCCGCCAATGGCGCGTGTCGAAATTATGAAAGCAGACTGGTGTCTGCCAATCAAATGAGCTCACCCGACCCATAACTGACAACTTTTTCAACGACTTGAAATTCTTTCGGGGGACTGACTGACTGGAACTGCAGTGGGCACTAACATCATAGCAAAAACTCCCGACCTTGTAACAATGCCGCTTACCGTTTTCGCATCGGACAGCTCAGTTGTTAATATAAGGAGTCGTGAGGCCAGAACCAGCAGAACTTTAGAAATGGACAACAAAACAGTGATGAAGCCGTACCCACTGTCCTTCACAAGCTACTGTTCACAGCACCTTCCTGTTTGAAACGCAATAGGAGACTGCTGCTAGATTACCTTGCATAATTCTGTCCCAAAACAGCCTTGTACGTTTGTGGCCGAGAATCGGTTCACCTGAAGTGTGGGATGCCAGATCCGGAACAAAGAGAGTTAGGAATTGACAGATAAAATGAAGAAAATGCAGTGAGAGCATTCTCCGGTGTGAGTGGGTCGAAAATTGGGAATGGACTTCAGAGCACTCCAGAAATCAGGAGGAAGTAAGTCAAGGTGCGCAGAGAACTGGCGAACGAGCTGAAGGAGACACACCCGCAGCGGGCGGTATGCGAGGGTGCGAGCTTGGTTAAAGTCAAAATGTTGTACATCAGGGAAATAGAAGTACATGCATCTCTCTTTTTCTGTAACAAGGGAAGCAAAAAAACATCATTCCTCTGTCGATGAACGGGTAAGAACATGAACACCCAATCACATGGGAAAAAGTTTGTGGAAGTTGAACTTTTGAACAACTTTACCATATCGAACGTCATTCGTATCACAGTCAGATTGCCCTGACATTCCTTGTCTGGCACGGTCTATCGTTGGTGAGATTGGCCGTGTCACAGAAGAAGGAGCGTCAGCATCAGCGGGCGATTTGACTGATCCTCTACACGGGTGGCTGGAGAATGTGGACACTTTCTTCCCCATATTTTTCTGCATTCAAAAAAGCGTGTTACTTTTCGAGTCCCTTGCTATCGCGCTATTGCTTGAAAGCGACTCGTAACTTACTTACACTATTGACAACAACATGCTTTATAAACACCCTGTATGATCCTGCTCATGATCCGATGAATATAGAGCACAGCTAGTTGATGAGAATATGAAACATGAAAAATATGCATTTTGAGAGCTTCAGTTCGAAGAAGGGTGCTCTCAAATTGTGAAGAGGATGTAGAAGAATAAGGAGGCTCGGATTCGAACAAAAAAAAATCGGACCGAAAAATCAGGAGCCAAGCTATTATTGACATGACATACTCACATTGGAATGAAACGCCTTTGTGAGCTAGGTTGAGTTGGACTCTGATTTCTAAAGCACTTAACCATCAATGGGCACAATGTCTCTGAAACGCAGTCTAACTCCTGTCTCACACACTTCACATCCCGAAGATCGTCTCAGGATAGCGGTCAAGAGCAAATTCCCTTCGTCCTCCCCTTTTGTTTCTCCCTTTAACTTCTGGGTCAGTAGAAACGATGAGAAAATACTTCTGAACCAGCGCAGTGACAGCATGTCCGGAGGAAAGAAGCCCTGCAACCCCCGAAGTTTGGGAGGGCGTGGCTGCGTACTTCATTTAAACATGGCGAGGGACGTCCTTTTCAAGGGTTATTTCAATTTAAGACGGTCATCATCCCGTCTAATTGATTGAAAGACTTGATTACAATTGTCCTAATACAAACATATCGCACTAAAAGCGTAATCATCGCCATGCTGATGTAAGAACTAATGTGCGCGGTCACACCTTCTCTCTCAACGTACGGTGGGCACAGCTCCCAAAGAGGAATGCTGCGCTTATCAGTATTTCCAAGAAAGATAGAAGACGAGTAAAATGGCAGATGACGCTGTTCAACGGTAAATCGCAAACCTACTTGAATCAAACGATCCCGTTGAGCGATTTCAGCCTTTAAATTGTTTTGTGTAGCTGTCATTGCTTCAATCGTCCGTTTTAGTAGTTTCACTTCCTGAAAAAAAAACTGAACTTAACTCATGGAGAAACAGAATTTCACAAAAAGATTGTCGACATACACTGGTGAGGTCGCGACATTCTCTATTAGACTGCTGCAAAAGAACTTCCTTCTCTTCCAATTCGTCGTTTAACAAGTCCACCTGAACCAATGGTTATGGTCAATTGTTATAATCTTAAATCAAAGAATCTGTTTTTACCTCATATAATAGAGCTGACTTTTCATTGTCTAGCTGAGAATAAAGGAACATTGCTCGTTGAAATCGGTCCTCCAATTCCACGACTTTATCCTGTATCAGAAGAAAATTAAATTTAAGAAGCATTGATAGACATATACAAACTAGTAATTGCCCAATATTGCTTGAAAAAACAGTTAGTCGAACAACGATAGTCGCACTCCATGCATGACAACAGCTACTGCTAGCAACTAGTTTTCAAACACGCCATGCGCAATAACAAAAATTCAACGCAGATCTACAGGGCAATGAAAATGCGACAAAGGCCCCGATCTGGGAAAACTTCCATCAATCAAGTCTCTCAGTCAGAGTCAAGAGGCAAGATATGAATGGCAGCGCAGAAGTAGCGACTTCTTCTTCAAGCATAAAATAACTTCATAGCATCAAGTTGTAAATAAAAAAACCACATACAGGAAACCTTCTTTGAAGAAGTATTCCATGAACGCAAGTTGTGTAATTTTGGGATCAAATATGAATTTCAGATGCTAACTAGCTTACGAGATCATAATATGCTCAGCGAAACAGTCGAAAAACCCCTACATAAGGGCCAGGGCTTAGATGAGCATTACGAAATGCGAGCCACTGTAACCTGAAGAGAGATCAGAGGCAAAAGGTAAGAGCAGCATGATGAACTGAAAAGCGAGCCGAACGATGGAGGTCGTTCCGAGGTATCACTGCTTCATTATGACGATGGCCGCGTCCTCGTCACTCACTGTCGAGTCTCTGAGACTGCCAAGCGGACTAGTTGGACAAGGAAAGGGTTCTTCAATCTTTTCTACTCATCGAATAATTGCTCAGTAAACATACAGGATGTCTTCGCCGTTGATCAACTCCTTTTTGGGATGCGGCATGCATTCTACTTCCATTCAGAATCAGAGTGACTTTTCAATGCGATGTCGCCTATGCAGTAACTTGCGAGGTACCAGCCGGTATATATGTTAGTGTTCTTAGTCTCCCAAACGAATCTGGCACCAATTTACCGCCCCCCGTAGAAGAACTGGTAGGCCCGAGCTGGAGCCGTCCAGGACTTGATCCCCAGACTGCACGCGTCGTTCCACTACACCTTCTCCGCCTCAATCACATTGTGGGGTTAATTACATACTTTGAATCTTTTCCCCTGCATTGGGATCATTTCTCTTCCTTCTCGTGCTTTCGAGACCATAAAAAGAACCCGCTGCGACATTGCACCTAACGTGATCAATCTTCCCAGGTCACAAAATCTATGCATTGAAAATTTCACGGTCTTCAAATCAGATAACCCTGACTTCTAAGCGATCAATCGAAATGTTGCGCCGCCAGATCGGCGTTCATGATCACTACGGAAAAAATAATCTGTTGAAGCATAAAATACAAACAACGCAAAGATCTAGAAAGAGACGAACAAACTAGTGCGAAAGTTAGACGAGAAAACACTCTCTGAGTACATAAACACTCCTCAAAGAACCCCTTAACAAGAATCCCTAATACAAAAATGTCTTGCTCCACTTTCATCTGGGTCAGGTCATTCTGCGTGTAAATAAGTCTTTCGTGCGTTTACACTTATTTCACTTCCTTCATCGTCGTTCAAGACACAACAGAGGGCGTACATGACATCCACAAAATTTCTCAACGGTTGATTTGATTCAGACTCCTCCCGCCTGACACCTAGCATTAGGTATAAGTGCAGATAGTTTTGTAGTCAAACACGCTCTGATTCCCTTAATATTGTAATCGAAAAGGGAAAGATTTCACATACTAAGCTTCCTGCACTTCCCCCTCCCCTCCTACTGTTAGACTGTTTTATTAAGCTAACAGCTGCTCAAAGCAGCAGTTAGCTTGATAAAAATCCGTCCGAAAATTATCACAAGTTATGCTGAGTAATGGACCACTCTTGACCCACATAGGTCCCGAACCAGCGCCTCAGAGCGATATGGCGTATAGCACACTGCGCAAGGGCAGTGTGCTATACGCCATATCGCTCTGAGGGTAACAACCCGCGGTCAAGACTTCTGCAAACCACTTAGTATTCCTATGACACTTAATACGCAGTAGTTCGCAGTATAGGGAGAAACATAGTAAAGGGTGCCTCTTATCTACTCTTACCAATTGATATCATTACCTGTCACCCCTTACCTATGTCTCTATCGGGGAAACCCTCATAATTTGCAAGTGAGAAGGGTCCACACCTGAGGACGGCCGCAGCGCCTTCAAAACTCAACACCGGAACCAACGTCCCACTATTCCTGTGACAGGCGCAAGAATTTCCGTGACAAACAAGCAAACAGACACCAACGTCAGGCAAACTTAGTGGGTTTTAATATATTGTGAAACTTCGATTTCACCTATGGAGCTGCTACCTTTGCCAATTGTACAAATACTCGTTACTTTCATAACAAATTAAACACTGACCATAAAAATGTGCAAATAAGCTGGATATCACTGGAAATCGATGATCTCACCCACATTCCCAGTACACTTTTTGAAATAAAAACTGTGGCAGGGGTCTCAAAGGGATTACCACATGAGCTCTGATAAAGCAGTCAAGCTTTTCGCTATTATACAAGAAACAGCGCACACCATGCCCAAGAGGGGGTTGGACGGGAGGAGGCCTTCTGAGAGGTTGTTGACTTTTAGTGTTTTCTCCTGTTTCGGTACTGTAACGGCCTCCCTCCCACTGGACAGCTCGATGAGGAGGGATTAAGGGAGGGGGGGGGCGTACGGACGAAATCTCCGACCTGATGTCCCCTGACAAGAAGAGAATGAACACTTTTCCCCAGTCGATGACCATATAACTTGATGAATACTATCGTAACTATTACCTAAACCTGTTCCCTTCTTGTTTAAGTGGCTGTTTTACTTGAAGAAGAGGCTCTAATAAATATCTTTGGTAAGGGTAGAACAGAATAAAAACAAAAACTGAGTAGTTGACACCTACATTCCTCAATTCTCTCTCAACACAGAGACCGGTGAAACCTTCAGGTTTCTGATCGTGAAACTTCGGCGATATTTCTAACTTTGATGGTTTTCTTTTGTGCCAACATTAGTTCCACCTATCCACCTCGCTGGCAAAAAAAAGGAGCATCAATGATTGGAAACATCTCCGAATCATGTTTAGCAGCATTACTTTGGAGGTTCGAGCTATTAGGTCATCTCATTCAAAAGTGCCGTGACATATAGAGGAATGGCAGAAAAGCAAAGGGGATAGGGAAGCGGGCTACTATACCATTTGGAGGCTAGTACCTTTAGCTGTGTATCTGTGAAATTTGGCGACCTACCCACAGAGGAAGTTCTCGAGAAATTGAAAAGAAGCCCGAGTGGTGAAAATCAAACCGATTTTCAAATCAGACGTCATAAGAGGGAAGTGCGCTGCTCAAATTTGACCTGCGCCGGACCAGTAGTTGTGTGTAATGGTGTTCTCGAAATACAAGGTGGAAGGTTTGGTTCAGGAGCCCGAAGAAGGAAGAAAGGAAAAAATTTGTTGTCGTGGATGGTCCCATAATGTTCATCCTGCACAAGAAAAAAGGGTGGATGAAGTCAAGCGCTGAATGTCTGATCCACAGAGCCTGGACCTTTGTCGAGCTTCCCCGCGACTGACATCCCAGCTGCAACTGTGCTGCCCGATTTATGTCCGATAAGAATGAGTAGGAGTCAAGAAGGCATGCATAATACCTACAATTTTCTGTCAAGAGCACGAAAAGCAGTACGCTGATTCTATGTATCAAGCAGTAATGTTCTCAGCGTAAGATGTCATTCACGACTGTGAGAATGCACCCCGGCCCCAGATGAAATATGGGTGGTCTTGGACGCGTAACGCAAAACTCCATCGTCAGTTCTGTATGAATGCAGATGAGAAGCCGCCCGAGTTCTACCATTAGATGTTACGTGAGCGCAAGCGGATGATCATCATAGCGAAGAAATCCCACACTGAGGCTTTTAGGCGGCTCTATACAGAAAATATAAATCGTAGGTGTCGGTTTATATTGCCTGTCGGCAATCAGATCGACAAATGGATGATACCACAGAACTATATAAGAAGGTCACCGTTGCTCGTCATAGTGCAAGACCCCGAGTAACTGTACTGTGGGGCAGTGCTGGCCCGACATAAAGCCGAGCGATTTCAACTATCCTCGTCAGTCCAGAGTACTCTCCTAACGACGGCAAATCCTGCCATATGTTTTGTCATTCGCGAAATTGGCAATCAACAGCAAGATGGTTACTCGCCACTTATGTTGAAAAAATCGAAGGACAGAAGCTCCAAAGGCTTTCTTGGGCATTAGGAGGGCGCCGGGCCATTGGCGAATGGAAGGATTTAACTTTAACTTTGAAGCAAAATTCACTTTTAAAAATCTATTCTCCTCTTGTGTTTATTCAAAAAGGACAGAACAGGAAAACCGACGGTGCCACTTTTGAATGGCGGAATCGACCTAATATGTCAGCTATGTAATGAGAACATGAATGTTCAGAATTCAATTTCATAAAATGCCATAAAAAAAGAGGGACACAGAGAACTGACACGTCTCCACAAATAGCCTCATACCGGCTCCATCATTTTTCTGTTTCTTTTAAACCGCGCAATCGTTCCAGTTTTCAATCGCCCACCATTTGCTGTCTAAACATTCCGCAGTCTCACCCGCAAATCCCTCTTGCCCCTAATCTTCTCCTTTTCCAACTACCACCCCACATTAACTCTCCCTGATTTCAACCACTTCATTTCATAAGAACTTGCACTTATTAAAAGGAGCTGTATTATACTGACGCGACTTGTTTGATGGGAGCCCTTGTTGTCATATCGTTTTGGAACATAAATGAGTTAGATGGTTATAAAATGACTCTCAATAGGATAACGCCACTAACTGTGACCAGCTTATAGCCACTTTCAGCGACGGATCACATGAAAGAACTTAGCCGAATCAGTTCAAGCTAATTTGAATTAAACAGTTAAAAACAGTTCAAATCTGCATGCACACACCTGCAATACTGTACTGCCCTCGTTGCAACCCTGCAGGCCATTCGATGTTGACTGGAAATCAAAAACATTTGTTAGTATCACTTCATGTTAGAATCGTGCATTGATCTCTTCGTATCCGCGGCCACACTCGGTTCACAGGTGTTCCAATCAGCCGCCCCGCAGGGTCAATTCAAAAAGGGGCGGGTACGAATTAAAGGCAGCGCCCGCGTTCAATTTGATGAATTATGGGGCTCAGACAGTGACAACAAGGTAGCAAGTTCAACAGTGGAGAAAAATGCAAAAAAAATCATAGATATGCCCTATATAGGACCCCACGCCGAGCTGAGGTTGTACGTGCTTAAGGCTTAGTTCTCACTTGTTGGTATCAGCTGTTTTCCCTTATCACCTCACTCTCACCATTCGAAGTGGAGAGAAGCAGCAGTGGAACAACCGCACCATCAGGCAACCATTAGAAATGAAGTTGGGCGTAGTGGTCGCCAGGTGGGCGGGGTGGCCGACTCTTCACGAGCGGGCGCCGCTATTCTCTCGCATTTTTGAGTTGCGAAACTAGTACGTCCACCATCCTCATAGGGTGAGCTACGATATCCAAAGAGGGCGTGGGAACAACAAATGAACGCGGGTGCTGCCTTTAAGGTCACATTGTGGTAATAATGAGGGCTAGTGTGAAATAGGGTGTTGAAAAGTATACAACTACTTGATAACAGAAAATAATGATAAAGGCACGCATTCTATTCCAGGGCGCAAAGATATGTCAAGGATCTGCAGTGGTCACTGTAAAGGTCCGTTGGAACCGAATGACGAGTTTAGTTTTCATAAACTGAACCGCACAACGAGCAGATTAGATCACAAGCACCCAGAAATCTCACTGGAAACGACCACGGCAAACTATATGAGTGAGTACTGAGAGTACTGAAATTGAGATAAACCGACTTACCGCAGCATCTTGCCGATATGCCTCAGCTTCTTCCTTAAAATACAAGCCATGAGAAATGAAATGAAGCCCTTTATAAGGGATAATAGTTGAAAAATATCTTACTTCGACACGTTTCTCGAGAAGGGTATAACGGTGTTGCCTTGCTTGTTCGCGCGTTTCTCGTTTCACTCGCATTCGCGCTTCAGCCTTTAACAGAATTCGATTTCACTTGAGAAATGATCGGAAACAGCGAAGAGAAAATGAAAGGGAAAAAACATTTGCATACCATTTGAATTGCCTACTTCTGAAAGGATGGTGAAGTCATGCAACCAGCTGTA